AAATCCATCAGGCAGCACCTTCACAGCTGTCCCATAAAACATTTAATTTTTGCTTATTTGTTTAGATGATGTTTCACTTTTAAACTGCAAATCTTTTGCTTTCACCTTAAAAAATCCCCATAAACTCTTAAGCCAACAACCATTTGGCACAAATGGAACTGCCTTTCCTTCCATCTGCTGGCCTCGCTGCCAGTTTAAGGGTCCTTGTTGGACCTTTAAACCCGAGAGAAACTGGTCCCAGAGCAGCAGCCGGATCCACAAACACACTCACATGTTCGCACGATGAGCTCATTAAATTGAGGCTGAAGCAGACAAATAATCACAGCAGCAACACTCCCTCCTCATCAACATTCATTCACAACTTTCACCGCTCCAGGAGTGTGAAACACAGTGATGTGGTCAGAGTACCATTCAAAACTAACAATTTCCTGTTTTATTCTTTTATTTTTTTTATTAATAATGTTTAATATTCACATTTGAAGTGAATGTTTTCGCAGCTGGGAGGATTCGATGCAGAAACCGAGCTCTGCGGGTGAACTCTGATGTCTGTTTTTATGTGTTTTCGTAACTTAAACCATCAGTTCGAATATCTGAGTTGTTGTTCTCAGAGCTGCAGAAACACTTTGTCACAGACAGACTCGTCTGCTCCACAAACATTTGAAAACATTTTTAACGGCTGCTTTTGTCAAAAGTAGAAGCTGAACTCGCACAAAGTCTCTGTAGATATAAAATAAAATGGGTCAGTAGTTATTCAAAGTTTTATATTTATGAAATGAGATGAAAGAGAAAATTTAAGGTGTTATTATCGCAGTGCCACTTCCAGACTCAAAGGCACAACGCCACATTCACACAACAGCAGCTGATAGTCGTGGGTTGATATGTTTTTATCCTGACTGTTTTGGGAATAAGAGATGATTTTACTAATAAATCTATGCATTTGGTTAAGGTGGTATCTCACTGGGCTGGGACTGTTGGAGAGAAGGTCACGGCTCAAAATGGAAAGAAAACAGACACATTTTCAGTCTCATTGAATTTTGAGTGTTTACGACAAGAAAGCTGCATGGCTGCCTTTGAAATGGTCAGTTAAAAACCCTTTTCTCATGTGCATGGCTTGGAAATCTGTATTCTTGGCTGTAAACAGTATTTTGTTGCCCACATTTCCCTACATTATGCTCATTTTGTTTCTACCTTTTCCAGTGGCCCCACTTTTATGGTTTAATCTGTTGGAGTACACTTTAGAAATACACACATGCGCAGATTTGGACCAGGTTTTCAGTAAATAGAGTGGTTTTTAACTTGAACATTTCCTTTTTCTGCTCCCATACAGCTCTTGAGACAAGTTGGAGATACCCACAACAATTTTGTTCTCAAATAAATTATTTAAACATTTTGAAAATTCAGACATGGCTGTGCATCTCTGTGGAAAAAATCTGTGTTAGGTTGCAAAGTGTAACTTTGAGTTTAATGATTGCAACCAAACAGTAGGGACTTAAATCTGCCTGCAGCTGATCCTCTGTAGAGCAGTCAACAGTTGACTCAAACCTGCTGAGTCTGTGGGGCCCCCAGCATCCTTGGTATTACCTACAGATGCACGAGTCTTCAGGGGCCAAGTACCATGAACTTTCTTGGCTGTTTCGGGAGTCGTTTCTGAATGGGTCATGGAGAACTCCTCTGACTCACCAGTTTGGATGGTTTCTGGGTCGTCCACCTGAGCTGTCTTGCCGGTTTGGTTGTCATCACATATTCATAGCCCACCTCAAATCCAACCTACAACCCAAGGGCCTTTTTATTAATTCATTTTTCTGACGTCTGTCTTTTTGAGCCATGTGTGCAAGTTTAATGTGCATACTCCACACCTTGTTTCCTGTTTTGGAAAGCAGCCTGTCCACCCTGAACATTTTATATGTTGGTCTGTTTTCTCTTCTGTACTGCCCAGGTTTTGATATCTTGAAGGGAATTTATTTTGGTTGTTTTACAGTTTGTGTAAGATCCCTTCATCCTGTGTTGCCCTGCTGTCCTCCCAAATCTGCGTTTTTCTTTTTTTTTGGTATTTGTGTTGGGTTGTTTGTTGAGAACCTTTGGAGAGGGGATACTGTAAGGATCTCTGTTTTTGTTAATTAGTAATATTTTGTGTTGTTTATAACTTGACTTTGTGTGTGTGTCAGTTTCCATTTTTTTTAGTGTAGATTCCTGCCCTTTATTTCTGCGCTTGCCCCATCCATGCTCACCTTTTTGTCTCCCCATGAGGAGTTTGTGTTTCTGTTCAATGGATTTATCGTTGTATTTGTCAGCCCTGGTCATTTTCCTTAGTTCAGCATAAGCATTGCACCTGCCATCACAATATTACTTGTGTCTTCTAAGTTCCCTATCATCCAGTTTCGTAAGTACCGTATTTTTTTGCCGTACACTTCGCACCGCCCTATAAGTCGCATCAGTCCAAATATGTCAAATAAAGTGGAAAAACCCATAAATACGTTGCATCTACTATGCCTCAATGTTGACAACCCAGAAATGTGGGACAAACCCGGATATGTGGGCTGGTGTTTTGCCAAAAAATATATTGGCTGTCAAATGGCGTGCACGGGAGCGTGTGCGGAAGGACTTTAACAAGCATTTTACAAGATAACCACCTAAAAACAATTATTTGTTTGCTCAAAATTATAGCAAAGGTGTGTCTCAGTTGAACTTTTCCTTATTAAATGCACTTTGATTGTCAAATCAGCTGCATTTTCAAAAGTATTCACTGCCTTGGTACTCTGGGAGCACACAGAGGGAGGAAATCAGGAAGGTGGAACGCTGCACATTTCTTGGAAATTTAACAAAATAACCACCTAAAAACAATTATTTGTTTGCTTGACATTATAGTAAAGGTGTGTCTTAGTTGAACTTTTATTTAATAAATGCACTTCAATGAATTAGCTGCATTTCGCCGGGGCAGCGCAGCAAAATTAAGTTGATTTGACGGTTGCTCCTGGCAGATGGTGGCAGGCTATGGCAAGCCGATTGTTTCATTAATAGCCACTTTTTCCTATTACATGACACAATGGCATGCCATACTACTCGAATGCCATCTAGCGGCTGAAAATGGTAGTGTTCAATATTTTTGGTCACAATGAATGAAAATGGTCATATCTCAGCCAAAAATTGGTTTACAAATATGGGAAAAAAATCCATAAATATGTCTCTTCTGAAGTCGCAGGGCATGCAAATTATGCAAAAAAAAAAAAAAAAAGCAACTTGTAAGCCAAAAAATATGGTAGAGTTTTTGGCTGCCTTTTCAGTTCTTTTGTTTGAATAAATGCATTTTTTTTAGACCTTCTGTGTCCTACCTGTCTTTTGAGTTTGAGCTGTAACTGGCTGTGACACACGCACACTAAAAAGCCGAGTCAGTAAAGCCCACGTCTCACTGGGCTGCTACTGTTAATAACAAACAGCAAACAATATTCACGAGGGAGTTTCCAGCATGTTTCCAGTCATTTGTGAGCATTCTGTATATTCACAAGTGAGTCACACGGCCTTGTTCATGTTGCTGATATATTAACATATTGGAAAAATATGCAAATCAATATTTTTCCTGAAAATAACCACAGAGTCATGAGCGTCTCGAACCTGTCTCAGTTTAGTGTGTGTGAATCACAAAGTGCAAACAATGAGGGACAACTTTGGGAGGATTCTCATCAAAGGAAGTTGGGACTAAATTGGGAATAAAACGTGAACAAGGCTGTTTTTCCAAAACAGGAAACAAGGTATGGAGTACGCACATTAAGCTTGCACATAATCAGGTCTCTCTTGTGAGTCCCCGTGGTTCAATGGGATTAACCTGTCTAAATAAAGGTTGAAAGAATGAATTAATGAATATGGTACAAAAAACAGACATCAGAAAACAGATGAATAAAAAGACCCTTGGGTTGTAGGTTGGATTTGAGGTGGGCTTTATGATCACTTAAAAACAGCCATCTTTGGGCTGTTTTGACAAAAATGCATTGTAACTTTTTCATTTTTTTCCCGTCTAGAACTCCATCAGTTTCCATCAGTCAGGGCCCAGTGAGACAGAACCATTGTCACTCAATTTCTTCTTGATTTGTTAATTATAGATTTTAATTTTCTTATCATCAGGAGACATGGTTTATAGGAACCAGCATGCTGTTGGTGACACCTGTGCTTTTTTGTTCGAGTCTCTGATTGTGGTATTTGTGTTTTAAAAATGCTGTGTATTTTTAGTTTTCACATTTGTTCGCATAACTCAGACCATAAATCCACCAAATCTGTGAACGCTGTTAAGAAATAATTTATTTTGTTATGAATATTTATATCTTAAGCTGTAGTTTATTATGCAAAATAATTTGAATTAGGTTTCCTCCAGATATATGATAAAATTAAATGTTTGAGTCTTCTTAAGTCACAGTCAAAGTTTATCTTCCTGTGTTTGTCTTTGGTCCAATGACTCGTCTCCGTCAATGTCTGTTTATGTTTTTGGTAAATGAACTCAACTCATATCATCAGAGTTTTAATTAAATTTTGATGTTCTCAATTGTCTCCAAATTCAGCAATTATTAATTTCTCCCAGAAGCACCTGTTTGTGATTTCCATCTCCCTTTAAAGCTTTGTGCTCTGTGGACACAGCGTATAAACTCACAGAGCGGCAGAAGTTTAGCAGCGTGTTTTGCATCAAATTAAATTGTGATCAAAAGATTTTGATCTAAACCCAACATCTAAATAATTTATGAAGCTGGTTTGAAACAAACACAAAATTAGTTTTGTAATTTTGAGAATAAGTCATGACTCTCTTACCAAAGACAGTCGTGAAAAATGCATTACTAAGTTAGAACCAAACTCCGGTCTCTGTGTGGCTCTCTACATCTTTAAAGTCTCGGAGTTTTCCTGAAGGCATCACTGATAACTCTCAGCGTGGCATCATTTATTTTATAACACCTCCTCCAGCTAATGATGTTTTCTCATGTTCATTCTTCTTTTCACAGTGTTTTGTTTTCTTTCCACATTCATTTCTCCCATTTTTTTTTCTCGTTTCCTTTGCTCATGGCTTTTTATTTGTGTTTTCTCGTCACAAAAGTTAAAAATGAACCATTTTTCATTGCGATTATGTTCCATGTTTCATCTCAGCAGTGGAACTTGAAAATAATCAGGACAATCCTTTTGTACTCCTTCCTGAAGTTGTGGTTCAGGACGCCGTAGATGACGGCGTTGAGGCAGCTGTTGAAGTAGGCCATGAAGTAGCTGGCCGTGAACAGCCACTCCGGTATGTTCCTGCTCAGCCTGGAGTCCAGCGCCACGGCCAGGCCGATCAGATTCAGCGGTGCCCAACACACGGCGAAGAGCACAAAAACCACGAACATGGTCAGGAAGTTGCGGAGGTCGTGCGGCTTGATTTTGGGTCGTGAGTCTGGCTTGACTCTCCGCCTTACCTGGATCACCAGAATCCAGATGCGCAGGTAGCAGTAGGTGACGATGGAAATGGGCATGATGAAGTGCACCACCACCACAGTGATGGTGTACAGCGAGCTGACCGACTGTGCAAACGTGCAGGAATAAACCCGCGGGTCGTACTGCAAGGACTCCACAAACCAGTTGGGCACGATGGCGAGGATGGTGAGCATCCACACGAGCATGACGTAGCACATGGTGTTGCTGTTGGAGAACAGTTTGTCGTATTTGAGGTTGTGGCAGATGTAGCAGTAGCGGTTGATGGCGATCCCGGTGATGTTGAAGATGGAGCCAATGACGCTGAGGCCCATGAGGAAGCCACTGATCTGGCAGTGGATGTAGCCTGCGATCCAGCCGTTGTGGAAAATAGCTGTCAGGACCAGAGGGTACGGATAGATGGCAACCACCAGGTCAGCGAGGGCCAGGCTCACCACGAAGGCATTTCCTGCAACAAAACAAAACGAACAAAAGTTATTTACATTATAAGAATTTGCATGCACTGAATGTTACTGTGGGCGGCACGGTGACACAGTTGGTAGAGTTGTTGCCTCGCAGCAAGAAGGTTGCCAGATCAAATCCTAGCAAGGGACCTTTCAATGTGGAGTTTGCATGTTCTCTCCGTGCATGCGTGGGTTTTCTTCAGGTACTCCGGTTTCCTCCCGCACACCAAAAACATGCATGCTAGGCTGACTGGAACCATATTTTTTGCTGTATAAGTCACATTTTTTTGCATAATTTACATGCCCTGCGACTTATACGCCGAAGCGATGTATTTATGGATTTTTTTCCCCATATTTATAAACCAGTTTTTGGCTGAGATATGACCGTTCTCATTCATTCTGACTGAAAATATTGAACTATTTTCAGTCGCTAGATGTTAGTCGACCAGTATGGCATGCCGTTCTATCACGTAATAGGTAAAAGTGGCTATTAATGACACAGTCGGCTTGCCATAACCTGCCACCATCATTTGCCTGGAGCAACCGTCAAATCAGCTGCATTTCGCCGCGCCGCCCCGGCAAAATGCAGCTGATTTGACCGTCAAAGTGCATTTATTAAGTAAAAGTTAAACTGAGACACCTTTATTATAAAGTCGAGCAAACAAATAATTGTTTTTAAGTGTTAATCTCGTTAAATTCTTGTTAAAGTCCTCCTGTTCATGCTCCCGCAGCCATCTTTTGGCAGCCAATCGATTTTTAGCACAACACCGGCCCACATTTCCAGGTCGTCAGTGGTGACACATAATCGATGCGACGTACACAGCTAAGTGACATATTTATGGATTTTTCCACTTTATTAGACATTTTTGGACTGAAGCGACTTATAGGGCGTTTACGGCGGAAAATACGGTAACTCTAAATTGTCCCTAGGTGTGAATGAGAGAGTAAATGGTTGTTTGTCTCGTTTGTCTCTATGTGTCCCTGCGATGGACTGGAGACCTGTCCAGGGTGTCCCCTGCCTCACGCACATTGACTGCTGGATATGGACACCAGTGACCCCTGTGACCCGAAGAGGAAGAAGCAGGTAAAGATAATGGATGGATGGATGAATGTTATTGTGCGAATACTGATCGAACATACACAGGTTTTGCTGTTTTTTATTTTTCCGTGTTTTTTGACGACCTATTTTTGGAGACTTTCTATTATCTGAGCCGTGCATACGTCAAAAACGTTCAGCTCGTTCAGGAGACTGGTGTTAGACTTCTGATCGGAGTCAAGGGTCAGCCCTGGTGATGTCCAACTCGCACTGAGAACGTGCTCGACCCATACTCTGCAGCATCTGTTCCCATAAAAACTTCGTTTTAGACCTTAAGCAGACCTTCGATCAGGACTGGACGAACAGTAATTATGCACTGGGACTGAACTGCCAAGATAAGCTGAAAGCTGCCAGGGTATTAAAGGTGTGCCTCAGTTTTTTTGCAGCTGCTGTAATAAATATGTTTGGGTGGAAGCTTTTATCAAAGTACAAACAGAGGGAATACGGCCATTAACCTTGGCAGCCTCAATAACACCTTATTAGACCTGAATTCAGTGTTTATCAACCCATGACTCTATCTTCATTACAAGGAGGCCTCATCGTTAATATTCCGGATGATGCTCGTTTGTCTGCTGCACATCACAAGTTTGGTTTCTGTGGCTCACAGAGCAGAAACAAGGGACTTGTTAACTATCAGTCAATTTGTATTAGTTGGTGGTTTTGTCTTTATTACTCCATTTGCCCTTGGCAGGAAAAAAACCCTCTCGGTTAACTGAAGGTAAATGTTAATGAGCCAGAAAGAGAAAAATGTGCCATGGATAAAGGTTCAATTCCCCGTATAGATCAATGATTCATTAGAGCTGTTCTTACTATAAACATGTAGAATAATTGTCCCTAAAGATGCCCCTAAAGAAAAGGTCAGCACTTTATATTAACACTGTTTAACAAACATCCATTATTATGCCCGCAGTACACAGCAGAGGGATTTTAATTTGAAAAGTCGGTGTCAGAGTCAAGCTGACAGTTATTCAGAGCAGAAATATGAGCTAAAACAAGTTAAAGCTTTCAAAGCTGCAGTTGTTTCTTTTATTTTTACATCTTCATTTAGATCAGACACTTCTCATTATTTTCTTTGGCTAAATGTTTTCTTTATTCTGCTCCTGCTTGGACTTATTACAGGTTTGCAGGAATTATTTGTGAATTAATAAACTGAGGTTCCTCTTAAGGCTTCTAATGTCTTTTGGAAGAAGTCAGAATTTAGAAATGCTCGTGGAGATTACACGGATCTTATTCTAGATATCACAGATTCCTCTGAACACAGCAAAGAGGAGGAGGTGCTTTTAAATCCAAGCTGTAATAATAAAATGTAGGGGGCGGGCCTTTAGATACAAGATGAAGCGCAGCAGAGAGGGGGTGGGGATTAAAATAAGAGCTAAAGCACAACCGATAAGGAGGGGATCTTTAAATCCAAGCTCAAGAGCTACAAAGGTAGAGGGGGCGGAGCCTTTCAGTTTGAGCCAAAGCACAGCAGAGAGGGAGGGGGTGGAGCCTTTAAAGCTAAGCTGGAGTGCAGCAGTTATCGTTGGGCACCAGCAAATTCCCTATTGTAGTCGGTGAAGGCACAGACATGAGGATAAGACCAACAGAGACAAACGGAGCTCATAACATTCTAAAAAATGTTGCTAAACTCTAAACGCCCTAAAAAAGCACAGAATGTCAAGATTTCCCTCTCTTCATCCGCTGCTCAGCGGCCTGCAAGCATTCTTGGCCACGCCCACTTCTCCGCTCTGCACAGGAGATCAGCTGATCAGCTGCAGGAGCAAGTTTATTCTGCAGTGTGGGCTGCACAAAGATGCAGCAGCTGCTAAATAATAAAACAATATATATATTGTAAATAAAAATTCCATGCAGATTGTGTGGCTCATCCATCAATCAGCCAATCGTGTGTCATGTCCAATCTTATTTTGAAAAACTGCGATAGAGCGAGTCAGCGAAAAATGAATCGCAAAGTAGCGAGGGACTATTGTACTCAGTGTTAGGTTGGTTAAAAAAATGTCAAGTTTTAACAATGCATTCAATAAAAAACAATGTGCTAGACCTTTTTACACGGCAGATGCTTCTCATAAATTTCACCTATTTCATCCTCTTTTGACACATGATAGATTTAGTCACTTCCCTTTGAAATGTTAAATGTTTTCATTGCAGAGTCATGAAGTCCAGTCAAAAATAATTCATGAAGTAAAATGTTAAATCCACACAACATCTTCTCATATTTATGTTAAAGTGTCCCTGCATTAAAAATCTGATAGGGAAAATTTGTGAATGACCTTCAGCTACCATATGTGTTTGTTTATCAACAGAAACAGCCGAAGTGACTGAAATAGGGTCGACAATGGTGGCCGTTTGGGATGGAGAAGTCTAACTGATATTTTTCAAAGTTTATGCTCAGATTTGTTGAGCAAAGTCTGCAGATTAAGGAGAGGTCAGGTTGAAACAGTCAACTTGCAAAAGTCTAAAAGTTTTGCAGAAGTGAGTTTGGACCTGCTTGATCCCTGAAATTTATTCTCGGCTGTTCATTCATTGGCCTTTCTCAGCAGATTCACTCTGATATTGCCACCTAAACATTTTAGAGATTCAGTGCTTGTCTGAATTCATCATATTCAGCAGACTACCCTGATGTAAGTGTGACTCCAACTTGCTTTGTTTACATTAAATGCAAACCCGCATTTCAGAACTGCATGTCAGTATATCTGGAAATCTGCTGGAGTCAACTCTTATCAAGCTGCATGGATTGATATAGTTTAGGATAACTATGTTGGGTTTTGCACTTTGCCATGAATACTTTGAGTACAGTTTTATTCATTCACTAATTTCTTGACTCTATAACCAAAGCTTTGCTTTAAGCAAATACAAAGCAAATATCCTGATGCATGCTCAATAATCCAGGTAGAAAAATCTAAAAAAGTTAAATCTGGTCCTCTGGACATTCAAAAAAACCCAAA